GTTTCCAAATTTACCAAAAAATCAACCAAAATATTTTATTTCAGCAGCTAAATAATGAGGTACTTCTGAATTGAGGGATCCACAGAAGGCAAAAGAAAAGCATTCACAAATGATACTATAGTAAAAAGTATAAGGAGGACTAGAATGGTGGACATACTGGTAATTCAGGTTTTGGACTGTGATTATCCTGGATTCGGATCCTAGCTTTACTCTTTCTTTACTGTCTGTGTAACCTTGGCCAAATTACTCATAGGAATCTGGATTTCTCCATCTTTTGTGTCAGCTAGCACACAGTAGGTGCAGAATCTATAATAGCTATTTTTAATACATTTACATAAGCACACAGACTATCTACAGACACATAGACACCCTAAATGTACACTTACATATATACTAACAGCTACCCTGGAAACATCTGACCCAGTGACCACAGAAAGTATAGCTGTTTTCGGCTGAAAGTTCCTGGAACTTTCATGAACAAGCATCTCTGAGGACTCACAACTGAAGAATGGATGCCAAGAAAAGAGCTGGAAAAATGGCATCCTGCCCAAATGAAACAAAATACTAAGAATTCCTGTCCCAGTTACTTTTAACCCTGGATGGGGCTGGATAATACTCGCAAGGTTTGATTTTAAGGAGCCAACGAGGGCTGGGGACCTGGGGCCAATCACTCCCAGTGTCAGAGGAATGGAGGCAACACAAGCCAGTCATCCATCAGACAGGCAGGGTGGGGTCCCACATCCAGGGCATAAAGGGTACCTGTGATGCCCCCTGTTCCCCAAGATGGTTTACATACAGCAGCTCTAATGCTGGGACCAGGAAGGGGAGGACATCCAAAACCACCATAATTCCTTCTTCCTCACACAGGCTCATGCCACTATTCCGGAAACACGTTCCCAGACAAGGCCAGCCCCAACTTCCCCAATGCTGTCATGTCCCACCAGTGATGTCTGTGGAGTCTCTGCCCTTTGCAGTGTTACTGCTCGTCTTCTGAGTCAGCTTTCATAAACACTGTGTCTTTGGTTCAGCCAACCTGATTTTTATAGCCTTGGTAGCCAAATGTGTTCTGGAAGTTTACCCTCTATGCCCACCCAGGAAAGGCAGGTTCGCATTGTACTGGAAAATGTTCTCTTTTTAACTAATACATTTTGTAAATTGGTCTATGGTGCTCTGGTATAAAACACACCCTGTGTTAGCCAGGAGTAGTATTTTGGGATTTGAAATGGCTGTACTATGAGTTCTGTAGGACAGATGGGTATAGAAGGAAAGGAATCTAGTTGAGGAAGAACAGAGGTGCTTGTCTTCTGAGCTGCAATTTCACTTAAATGCAACCTTTTTCAGCTTTGCCCTTCCCAGTGGTGTGGAGATGGCTCTGATATTCTCCCTGCTGCTCCCTCATTCCATCTTCTCTCTCCCCTCCTCCAGCTCCTCCAATCCAATCTTTCTCTTTCTCTGTCTACTTGCTTCTTTTCTCCCTCTACCTTGTCCCCAGGGAAATAAACAAGCAAGCCAGCCTCCAGGTTTTAGACTACAAACAAAGAACTGCTCAACCAACAGGCCAGAGAAAAAAGAAATCCAAGGTTTCACACTCAACTGGCCAGGTCCCCAGTGGAGATTCCGGAGACTTATACTGCTGGAAACTCAGTGTCCTCTTGTGCCAAAACTTTATCTTTGCTTCATTTGCATGCACGTGCACACACACACACACACACACACACACACACACACACACAGATACGCATAAATAAGGTATAATAAAAATGAGAACATTTCATTTAAAATCTTTACAGGTTAGGGCAAGAGCAAAATGGATATATCAGTCAAGAGCATCAATGAGGGAAACAGATTTTGTCAATGCCTCTATCCCAAGCTTCTTAATTTGGGACCATTCACAATCACCAGCAACTACTTATTACAAACAGGAGAAAAAGAACAGGGAAAAGTTTTAGTGGGTCTTCATCCAAATGTCAACCAGAATTCGTGTCTGAGGGAGAGAGCATTTTGACTCCTGTGTATTTGAAAAACAACAGAGAAGAGAGCAGACCATGGCATGGTGTTTCTGAAGAGGTTTCTGCTACTTCAAGGCCGGTGGTACAGTTACATTTTTGTTCCCTCTTTGGCCTTCAGTTTCCTGTCAAATGAGCATTATAACTACTGCCCCCTGGTGTTTAAAGATTGGGATTAAATGGGAAATGGGAAAGTCCTCAGCACCAGAAGGAAATAAAGCCCAATATTTAGTAGGCACCAGGAATTGGGCAAGGGCATTGCAGCCATCATTCACAGCAATACAAGAGTCCAGGGAATTTATTTCTAATTTTCGCATGAATAAACCAAAGTCCAGAGAGGTGAGGCAATTCTTTGAAGATCATATATACAATCAGGAAGCAAGGGAGGTGGGCTATTATCAAGGTGTATATACCATTCTCCACACAAAACACCACTTTACTGAAAACTGATAGCAACCAGCAATGATCAAGTCCCAATTCTGAGTTTCCTGAGAAAGGACTCTATGCCAGACTCCTCTGGCTCCTTTAATTCACTTTTAGTTTGTCCTTCAGACCCCTGTATCGGAGTTCCAGTTCATCTAAGTGTAAAAGAAAGCTGTTGGAGGGAAAGAGGGAAATAGCCATCAAATTGTTTGAGTGAAGCATGCTCGTGAGAGAATGAGGAAGGGCACCAATCTGGCAAAGATGTATTGTGTCAGGGGATACAAATCAAGGACAGAGGACCTGGTCATGGGCGGGTGGGCAGGGAAGCCTACTCCTTTCCCTGGTCAGTCTGTCTACCCACAAACAGAAGTCACCCACATGGTGGCATCAGTTCTGAGGAGCCAACCAGAAGGTGAAGCACATATTCAAAGGCCTCCCTGGATGGACACAAAAATGCCTTTTCACTGAAAAGAAAGATCAGAACTGCCTCACACATGCAAAGTTGGGAAAAAAGAGAAATGCAAACAGAAATGCCTCCATTCTGATCTGGATCCTGCAGTTTCAGATGCGTGACTTGTCAGCTGTCCAAACAGGAGGGCTTTCCAAGAGTACCTAAGCTAAATGATTTTCATGTTATTACCCAGTCACTTTTAGTTCTGCAACATACAGCAGCCCTAGATAATACACTTTATTCTGTCAACTCTGTCAAGAGGGTGGAAAGTTCCTTTGAGTGGGAATGGATTTGGACATGACAGTGACTAGAGATAGCACCTTTTCTGTGAGCAAGACCTTTCTGCAGACAAATGGATACAAATGTATCACCATTTCAGTAGGCTATTTTGTTTTTAGAAACAATGGGTATAGTTATAATGATGAAAAGTAACTGACAACAACAATAGCTAATATTTATTGAGCATCTACTATGTGGCTAATAGTGCTAGGCGCTTTTCATATGTCATTTCATTAAATCCTTATACCTATCACCCTGCCTGTAGGTTCTGTTGCTCTCCCCATTATAAAGACAGAAATCACTGCTCTGAGGGGAAGCTCTCAGTGTCTTTAGCTTTTTCTGCATCTATAGTCTGAGCCCTTGATAAGCATCATCCCATCCTGTCTAACCCCTAAGTTCCTTTCTCATTCCTTAAGCTTCCATGAATGCATCTTCCTTCCTATATTTCTATTTTTTCCCCTACATTGCATGGCAAACCTTTACAACCCTGCCATTTAAAACTGTGCTATTTTACTATTTCAGATTGCCCAACGACTGTTTATAGACCACAATGCCCGACAGAGCCAATGTGTTTTAATTTTCACATTTTAGAAAGGAATTCCCAAGGGGAAAGGGCATTTGATGGAAAGGCAAACCTTTAAAGCACTCAAGGAGGTATTAAAATACAAATATCCAAAATATGGTAATTTGTCAAAGTTGTGACTAACTCTGGAGCCCCTGGGGACACTCATCTTGACCCCTCTGCGAAAGCCATCAGCAGCTGGTAAGCCTCACAGGGGACAGGATTAGAGCAATTTGGCTTCCAGCAAGGAGGCCAGGCTGCTTCATTTACTTTAAGTCTCACTGAGATGGTTTAAAACACTCTCTGGGAAAAGATGTTCAAGCAAAGCAAATTGCAGCCTTGCAAGCTGCAGCGTGGGTACACGGCAGTCTGTTTCTATGTATTCATGGCACACTGGAGCCCTCCCGTGACTGTGGTCATGGATGCACTGACTCAAGGCAGAACTCTGTCGCTGGGGAAATAATCTTTGTACCTAAGTTATACAAGAGCCACACTTGGCCCAGTGATGGCATCGCATCTAGTACAGATTGCTTACCCTCCATGATTTGGCCCAGCCTACATTATTTGTGGTTCATGAAAGTCCTATTGGAACTCAGCATATTCTAAGACCACGTAACAATAATGGGATTAAATATTTCACCCCAAGACCTCCATGGCAGATTAGTATGGCTGTGACTGGTTTTCAGGAAACCAAGAGACCTGAGCAGACCTAATCATGAACGCTCCTGCAAGAAATCCAATGTAGAGAACACACTGAGTCATGTGTTTCCGTCAGGCTGTGCAGTCATATTCTGGAGCTCTGTCACCATGTCTAATCTGAAAGCATTGGCTAAAATTAAACCTAAATAATTCAAGCGCCATTTCTTTACCTGGAAGTCTCGCTGAGTTCCCATTCCTCAGACCCTCTAATGGTTGCTGACATCCTAAGCTGAAATGACTACTGTGCAAGCACACTCCTGGGTGTTTGGTTTTTAAACCTTCTCCCTGCTTATTATTATTTTTTTAAAAGACAGATGCTCTTCTTTTAAAGAAATGTTGCTCCTAAAGCAGGACTTAACCCTATAGCTGTGACATGTCACTGTACAATTAAGCTTTCATTAGAAAGCTTAAAGCACAGGAAAGGCAAAATGTGCCACAGAGCCACTAAAAAATGCCACCCAGCTAAGATAATGGAGGCCTGATGTCCTCCCCCAATGCAAAGCCTCTAGATCTAGCATTCTCCTCCTCCTTAGAAAATACATTTGTTTAATTTGTGATTTGGAGCGAATTCCTTACCTACCTTCAAGGAAGATGAAAGCCCAGTCTCTGTAGATTCTCCAAGACTCTCTGAGCTTGTCAATTGCCCCAGTTCACTTTCTCCCTGAGCCTGGCTTCTAGGAAAGCAAGCAGGACCGCAGGCAGCCAAAGCATCTTCTTGTAGAAACCCTTTTTCCAAACTGGACCCTTCCTGAAGCCAGCAGCAGGCTCAAGCCCGAGCTTCTCCGCATTCACTCACAGAAAACAGCACCACTGGATCCAGATCCTGCTGGAAGCCACCAGGCAGGGGAAAAAAGTGTGACTTCTACCCTTCCTATGGATCCGATTGCTTTCCTGAGAACCTCGCTTTCGTCAATCTGCAGGAAGTCTCAGACCCCAGCATCAGCGTCACCAACTGATCCCGAGCCAGACCCGGGTCAGCTGGTCTCAGAGCTCAAGCCACTGAACCAGGAAATGTGCAGCTGAGCCAAAAAAAAAAAAATTAAATAAATAAATAACTATCAGCGGCGGAGCTGCTGGTGGTGCCAGAGAAGTCGCTGTTGCAGTGCTCGCATCCTCCGCATGCTAATGAAGCCATGACGTAAGCAACTCAGTCCCGGCATCTGGCATCTGGACGTCCAGTCCTCGCTGCCCAGCACTGAGATTTATTTACATGTAAATTAGCTTTACCTTCCAAATCAATAATCCCCAAGCCCGGGAGACAGGAAGAAAACCCATGCTCGATGCAGCAAAGGCTGGCTATACAACGTCCAAAGGAGTACAAAAATATCACATATAAGAAGAGAAGCTTTAAAAATACTCGTCTATTTTTTTTTTCTTTTTAAAGTGGTACTCCTATGTGCAGGGGGTATCGGATCTGGGCACAGTTATCAACTTGAGCGCCTGTTTCAGATTATATGCTGTACTAATCCAAGAGTGAAATGAGCTTTTTCTTTTTCTTCTCCTCCACAAAAGCTGTATCGAACCTTCAAATGCCTCTACTTTATTTTCTTGCTTCTACTTTCATTTCAGGGTGTTTGTTAGCTTGAGATGATGTTGTCTTTGAATTTTTGTGCATCCCTGAAATGAAACACATTTGGCTACTTTCCTCAATGTGCTTGGGTGGTGAATTAATTACCCTCTCTTTCCACACCCCATCCTAACTCCAAGTGAGCATGGGAGATGACAAAGCATAAAGCTGCCTGAGGCATTTGAAGACACTCAGACCTTCAGAGAGCACTGCTTCCATCTCTCCATTTTACAGATTAGGAAACTGAAGCTTTGAGTGAAGAACGGCATTTTCTAAGGTCACACAGGGATTTCAGCCTGGCTGGGTTGAACCCACATTTCCTAGACCTCACACTGCAGCTTTGTCAGATACCTTTGCATCTCCAATCTCCATTTCTCTGCACCCACATAGTGGCCTATCTAAGCAGTCACAAAGAAAGAACTCTGCAGAGTTGGGTAGCCCTGGGTTCAAATCCTGATTTAGTTTTCTGCTAGTGATGTGACCCTGCACAAGTAACTTAACTTTGGGGGTCTTCAATTTCTTTATCTGTACCCTTCAACTCACTAAATATTTTCTGGGCACCTACTCTCTGCTATGCATAGTGTTTGCTCTCCCCTAGCTCAGGCTATAGTACAAAAAAAATATTGGATGGAACTGTGGTGAGGATTGACACAATGTTACACACTCATCTAAATGTCAGTTATTTCTGACATTTTAGATGAAGTCAGAAAAATTCACCAAGGCATTCCTTCCACTAGCATGGCTATTGTTTCTGTCTTCTGAGTGTTTCTATAGCGATCTTTATTGCTGAAATTCAATTGTTTCTTCAATGCTGCCAATATAGTAGTCTGGGCCAGGTGAGCGCAAGCCAATAATCTGGATCCTGTGCCTGTGATAAGAAGCACAGTGTGGTCCTGAGGTGGAGGGTGAAGGAGGGGCCTGGAGGGTGAGAGAGAGGTATGTTCCATTATGCACATAAATGTCCCTGAGGACAAAACAGTAACATGGCTCCTGACCCATACTCTCCCGACCCCTTTCCTGCCTAAAGAACCCACTCTGATGAGCTCTGTGCTTCCAACTGGAGTTCCTGAAGCTTCAAATGAACTTTTTTGTTGGGTGTGGGGTATTAAATTATGTCTTTTGTTATAGGTAATGATAGAAACAATGCTTAATAAGTTCTTTCAGAATGCTTCTCTCCAGTTCATAAAAGACCTTTCATGATGAAAATCATGGAACCTGGAATAACTTTTCAGTAATAGAAACAGAATACAGTTGAATAAATAATACTCTGCTTTAAGTTTCTACTATACAAAACTCAGAGCGTGCGGGGAAGTGAATAGTTCAATGAGACCTCAATATCCTTCAAGAAACAGAATGACAAATATAACAGTTTGAAGCCACCAACAGCCAAGGGGAAGCAATGACGTCCTACCCTGGTGTGGTCATGGAAAAATCACTTCAACTTTCTATGCTCCAGTTTCTTCATCTGGGCCTACTACACTCTGACCTCCTTATTATCAGCATGACCATACAAGAATTATGAGAAGTGATTCACAAGTGATTAACAGTGAGGCAATAAAGAGGAAAGCTGGAACACAAAGTGATAAAGATTAATCTTTCTGAAAAAGATATGATGTATGACTATGAACTTCATGAGAGGTAACAATATGACATGGGGTCTGGAGTGGCTTGCTTAGGGATAGCCCCAAGCTCAGACACTTGCCAACTCTATGATTTGGGGCCTGGGTTCTCTTCGATTATAAGAGGGACAAGAATAGTTGGCTGTTCTGAGGATCAAATGAGAATTAATGAGAAGCACTTAGCACAAGCCGAGCACACAGCAAACATTCAATAAATGTTTGCTATTGGTAGTGCAAGTAATAATGCTTTTACTATTAGCTTTGACACTAATTAGCTAACTGGTCAGACCAAGTTCAAAAGGCGGGAAGGAAGTGGGTAAATGGAAGACTGCAAAATCATACCCATTCATTCCAAGGGTACAGCTCAAAATCTCACCTAATATGGGTGAGCTGCTGACATGCTCTTCCTATAGGAAAATGCAAATACTTTTCATTTGCTATGAAACTAGGAAAGAAAGGCTTAAAAAGGACCAAGAGGTACTGGGGGCTTTCTGCTTCAAAGCTGCATTATAGGACAAGACGGCTCTATTTCTGGGAATCGTAGGTGCTTCATCCACTCATTCATGTATCCAGTCACTTGTTAAATGAACTCCTAAGATTTGTCAGTTACTGTGTTAGGCCTGATGGACATCATGGTGACCAACATAAAGATGGGCCCTGACTTAAAAGAGCTTAGAAATGAAAGGGAAAACAATTAAGCAAGCAATTAGAGAAGAGTGTGCCTTGTATTATGATAGGGCTTGTGCTGAGTTCTCAAAGGTCTAATTGCAGAAAGGAGGTGGATGGTGCAGAGCACGTTGCTGAAGTGAAGTCCTTTCGACAGCATGTTCTCTGTGACTGCTACTCAGTGGGGAAGCTGGAGATCTATGCATCACCCTTGCACAGATTATTGAAATAACATAATCCACAGATTGATAATTCCTTGTGATAATTATTGTTTACCCTGGAGACCATTCTATTCAGGATTTTTAGAAAATATGCTGTTAAGGTATTAGGCAAGGTGAGGCAAGAACTACTTTACAAAAACATGAAATCCACATTCATGACAGCAAGCTTCTTGGGCAGGGGATGAGGGAGAAATACATATGAGACACTCAAGTATTTAATGGGAATCTGTGGAATGCAGGACACTCTTGTTTTTGGAGACAAGGGTGCAACTTCTGACCTTCAGAACTTTCTATTTAGATAGGACAACAAGGTGTTTACATAAATGACCATAACTAAATATAGCATTTAGGAATGGGGACAAGAAAGACAAGACTGGTTGTGTTTGAGGTTATCAGAAATCAGGAAAAGTCTGATTTGAATCAGGTTGAAAGCCAAAACAAATTTTTGTATAATGAAGACACATCCAGACAATATCCAAAAACCATAAATGAAAAGAGACAGAGATAAAAGAGATTGTTAAAAGAGACAAGATCAACCTGAGCTGCTAGCAAGGGTGTTGCAGGCAGGAGAAAGAACATTAATATGAAGAAAAAGGTGTTTGTGCAAATGCAGAATGAAAAGACTCATCTGCATGGGCACCAGGCCAACATGACACGGGCAGGTCATGAGTAAGTGCCTGCTCCATACGTGCAGGAAAATCAAATCATCTCTCCAATCTAGCCAGCATCTGTCAAAATCTTGTTAGAAGATTAAGGAAAAAGGATAAGTGCCAGTTACTTTACAGAAGACAAGTTTAAGTGACAACAAGGTCTAGCCTCCTAAAGTAAGGGCTTCTATGAAAACAAGCATAAGAACAATTTTTAATCTCCATTTCCATAGGCATCAAATAGAAAAGAATGGACTTTAAATGAACTAAAGAGGGACTTCCTAGGACCTGCAGAAGACTTTTGAATACTAAGATGATAGAACTGGTCTAGGTCACTCAGAGTAATGTTAGCATCTTTGTCTTAAGAGCACTTTAAAAAAGACAAAGATAGCACCAGTTCTAGCTGATTCAGATCAGTACCTTCTGACCCCACTATTGTGAAACACTAATTACTACTATGAGGGATACTACCAAAGTTTTGAAACATATACCTAATAAAGGTCATAAGTTCATTTAAGTTTAGTTTATTAAAAAAAGTATGTGTGTATTATAATGATTCTCTCATCTATATCTATATCTATCTATATCTATCTATATCTATCTATCTTTATCTATAGATATATCTATATCTATATCTATCTATCTATATCTATATCTATCTATATCTATAGATATATCTATATCTATCTATATCTATAGATATATCTATATCTATCTATATCTATAGATATATCTATATCTATCTATATCTATAGATACCATATCTATCTTATCTATAGATATATCTATATATATCCTGTATATCTATATATCTTATGTATCTATTTAGATATACAGTTATGCATATCTATATAGATACAAATATAGATATAAGAGAGAGAGATTTATATAGTTTTAAGTAACCTACTCAAGTGTGGGTCTCTGATATTTACATTTCAAAATCCAGTACATTTTTTTTAAATGGGGGAGAGGAAGCAGACAAAGAATTATGTTAGTTGGGCTAGGCTAGGCTATCATGCAGTATCAATTGTAGAGCTCAGCAGTCTAACATAAGAAAAATTGATTTCTCAATCATGCAAACTGGGTTAGAGGTCCAGAGGCTCTCCAGCACCTCCATTCCAAGCAGTGACTCAGGGACCTAGCCTGTTTTTTTTTGTGTGTGTGTGTTTGTGATCTTAACACATAATTTCCAGGTTAGGGCAACAGAAGAAGAGAGAACTGAAGTTTTTAAGTGTCTCAGCTTGAAGATGAATGATATGACTT